AATATGACCATGTTGCGAAAACAAGGTCAAACAACCTCTATACAACGAAAGGAGACTGCGACTACACAAAGGGCCACACCATCTTGGTCTTCATACTTTCGATAAATAATTCCTACTCAACTTTCTAACTCCGTTCCTCACATTTAACGTATTTCCTAAGCTATTAATTTTAATAGCTTATCTTATTTTTTTTAAACACAGACGTACCGTAATCAGCAAACCTACTAGTTTGAGACCATTTTATTTCATGTCCAGTCGCTGGAGTGTGTTCGACCACTTCTGACCGTTGGATCCAGCTACCTTTGCAAGTTGTGGGGGCTATTTCATCTCTCTGGAGTAGTGAATTCATTTTCCACTTCTCCATTTCACCATTACTTATGCATACCTTAAGGACACCCTTTAGCCTAGTCTTAAGTCTTTATGTTGCGTCTCTCAATAAAGGTCTATACGTGTCATTGTCATTTAAATAAACTAGCATCTTTTCTACATAACTTGACCATAAAAGCCAGCCGGCTGCAGTACAACGAGATTCATCCGTCCTTTTCTGGTGAGATCGAACAACGAATCTCTTCTTCATGCACTTTCATACGAAATGAAGGTCCCCCTAACAATGTTATGTCAGGAGATTGATCGAAACCAACTTTCTCCTCGTATCTGCAATGAGTCTTCTCTAGTTTAGGCGTAACCCGATGACATTCCAGTTATAACCGCTACGCTAGAATGCATTATTTTGTAGACATGTCCCATTGTTTGGCTGAACCCCAACGACTCTGTTATTTCTCCCAAATTCAAGTCGAAAAAAACTACTGGGGTTTACGCCTCAGTGGGTATCAAATGAGCAAAATGTAGAAGTGGGTTGACCTCGTTGTCGCAACTTGGTCTTGTTGTTAGGGCGACTTAGTAGAACGCACCTAGTCCGAAGTAGTCTGCCATAGTAGTTGTCATGTGTCACAGCATCAGACAGTGGAATTGGTACATTCTCAGACGTTTCGCCGGCATCGTAGTCGGCATCGTCAGTGAGTGCTGCCATTCTCCGCACCAACCTACGAACTCGTCAAAGAAACAAGTGAAGCCAATCCCTCGACAACCGTTCTGCCGAAAACGGTTACACTATCACTCCTCTTTCTGTCCTGGCCTATCTATCAAAACACTAAGAAACATTAGTTTCATATAAGACGCTTAAGATTTGCCCATTTAATCTGGCATTAATGTTAATAGATATTGTGATTTACTCACAACGCTTTTAATCTCAAATTGAAATGAAAATAACTTCTTTGTCTACACTCTTTATTCTTGGGGCTCTGTTGGTCATCGCAGACACCTAAGGTCTCCCCATTTAATCTGGCACCCCCAAACATCCCTACCTCGGGTACTGTAACAACCAAGTCCGCCCTAGGTTATGAGATAAAAGCCTCGGTTTTTACATAAGTTAATTAAGAAAGGGGGTGGAGAAGGAGTATTTGTAGAACAACTTAAACCACCATAACCTTAAACCGATACCACATATTTACTCCTTCTCCACCTCCTTCCTTAATTAACTTATACAAAAACCGAGACTTTTATCTTATAACCTAGGGCGGACTTGGTAGTTACAGTACCTTAGGGAGGTATGGTTGGGGGTGCCAGATTAAATGGGCAGACCTTAAATGTCCTATCCAGTAGATAGGACAGAAAGAACGTTTGTTGATGGATTGACTTCACTTGTCTCTTCTTTCTAGTCCGTAGCTTGGTGCGGAGAATGGCAAAACTGACTGATGATGCCGACTACGATGCCGGCAAAAGGTTTGAGAATGTACCAAGTCCACTGTCGGATGCTGGGAATCATGACAACTACTATGACAGACGACTTTGGAATAGGTGCGTTCTACATAGTCGCCCTGACAACAAGACCAAGTTGCGACAACGAGGTCAACCCACTTTTACAAGTCGAAGGGAGACTGCAACCATACCCCAGGGGCCACAAAATCTTGGTCTTCATATGAGCAAAATCTAGTTTGTCAGGGATTTGCTTTTAACTAGTGGCAAGAGATCCTAAAAAAGCAGAAGAATCAATTTGGAAATAAACCAATATGTTACCTATACTATACTATACTACTTGATAAACTTTGACCAAACCTCTCCCCAGTCTCATCATCTGAGCTATTTATCCGGAAGTCAAATGAAAATTCTAAGCTACGCTGTATTTGGGCCAAGTCATAATAAATTTTCTGCTCGGCCAAAAAAAGTAGCTTGAAATGGCAAAAATCGTGCCATGTCATGTGCGATGATGACTTCTGTTTGTACTTCTCTTCACTTCACTTCTATTTCAAACTATTGCTTATATGTCGTATTATTCATAGTTATGTACAGCTATTCATTTGTCTTCGTGCCTTATACTTTTCTCTGGCCCGTCACATTGTGCTGCATGCTGTAGTGACGAGAACACCGGGACTGAAATGCGGCGGTCGACATTTCGCCTGTATTAGCGAACCCTTCCAGCGCATTCCTCTGGCCTACCGTTGCGACGGAGATGGAGACTGCACGGGTCGTGAGGACGAGGCAGATTGTGGTATGTAAAGGACCAAAAGTCTTCTATTGACATGAGCACTAGAGGCAGGTTAAGAGTAGTGGTCTACATAATCTATGGTGCAGAGGAAATCGTACTGAAGTTTGGACACAAGGTTCTAGCCACTTCATGAAGCACTAAGACATGAACGCACATACGTATAGATAATTATATACACACATACACTCCTAAATTGTTATATGAAATGATCTGACCCAATCACTCTGCACATCATTAAATTGCATCGAGAAAAGCTTCGGCCAGAAGCTTCCAGTTTGACCAATCTATAGATGGGTTTTGAAAAACCACTATATAAGTTATGCTTTTGTACATTACATTCCATCATGAAAGGCTGGTGAAAATAATTCGTAAATGCACTGCAACAGAAATCGAAGAAGAATTGCTTTTCGGTAGTATTGCAGGTGGGATTGTGTAAAGAATTCCTTAGTGCACCATTCTATCCATAGTGAAATTTCATACTTGATATCGTGACAGTCATTGTCAGAGCATAAGGGCATAATTTAAGAAATATTTTTTACACATTATTATGTTCATCGCATAGCAGAAGAAAGCTTAATACCAAATCATTGGAGTCGGAGGACGATGCGCCGAAGACTCCTTCGCAGACCTTTACAGGAATAACTGTCGAAAGATAATTCTATTTCACTTTCCGATAAGACCAATTTAATCATTCCTTTCACCTTCCCTTTTAAATGAAATCTAAAGTAAAAAACAGAAGGTCTGTAATATAAGAAAAAGAAAAAAAAAGAAAAAAAGAAGGGCTGTAGTTAGGCTATGCTGCTTAATGAGTTTCCCCACGATCAGTTCAATCGGTTTCACTATTTCAAAAGGTATTGCCATCCCGAAAATACCAAAGTTTGGACTTCTGCTGGGTCTCATCCGCATTCCCAATGGGAATCGAACCTGGTTAGTGCAGCGTATATATTCAAATATCTGTCCCTAATCTCCCCGTGCGACCTAATTTTTCTATAGCCCCTGTGCAGGAGCCCCTGATGGTCTCACAATCTTTTGCTTCTGCATGAAGGATAAAAATAAATAAATTTACTAACAGGTTCACCGACACCTAACTTCTCTTCATATCTTCAAATTGCTTGTCGGAGGAAGGGATAGACTTTTTGGAATTAAATCTAAGTAAAATCCACTTTCCGTTTCATAAAAGGTTCTTCGAGATTTGCAGTAGATCTGATATAAGATCTGTATTCACCCGATTGTGTTCAAGGTGATAAAGAAATGGTAGTTGAAATTCTCTACATGGATGTGAACGAGCTTTATGATTCCTTGCTGGCCTTCCTAGAAATATACATCATCCCAATTATGTATTGGTTGCTTTTGCTAGATGTGGGTTGACCTCGTTGTCACAACTTGGTCTTGTTGTCAGGGTGACTATGTAGAACGTTTGAGAATGTATCAAGTCCTCTGTGAGATGCCGGGAATCATGACAACTACTATGGCAGACGAATTCGATCTTTTTTTTTGTTTGATCTTGCAATGGTGCCACAGCTGGACACCTTTCTCGTCTTTATGTTTAATGAATTCTCGTAAAAGCCTGGTGTCCTGCTCTGACGATGTCCATCACATGACGAGCCAAAGCTCAGCAAGGATTCATTGGGGTGGCAGAGCGGTGCGCCGAGGACATATTCGCACAATTCTACAATCACAGCTCCATGGCAATCCCCATACAGCTACAGATGACGCCAACTTACAAATCCCTTCCACTCGCCTCTTCAAACGAAATGAAAACTACTACAACATGAATTTATTAAGAGATTCTTCGAAAACGAGTTTTTCTACAAATCTACCAAAAATAAGTAAATTAGTCGATTGTGGAAAAGCTCAATTACCAGTCCTTCATCACCTTAAACGAGATATGTTAAATACGTCTCATATAAATATTATTGCCGAAAGTAATAGCTTATAAATTTTTGCCTCATCGACATCCCATAATG